GGGCTGGCCCCGGCCGGGCTTCCCAGGCGTCCTGCGTGTCCCCGGGCCCCGCTCGCTCTCCGGGTGAGCATCCGAGCTGCCCCGTCTCCCCTGGCGCCTGCGGGCTCCTTGGGGGACGCCCGGGCCTGGGGGGGCGTCCGCAGGCCTCGGGGGCTCTGGCAGGGGTGGGCTGGGCCGGGGCCCTCCTCTGCCCCTGGGCCCTCCTCTGCCCCTGGGGCAGGGCTGAGGTTGGGGGCCTTCAAGTGAAGGAGGGCGGTTCGGGGGGCTCCGCGGGGCTGCGGTGCGGTGTGTGGGCTGGGCTGGGCTCCCTCGTGGTAGAGTATCTCGCTTTGGTGGTGTGGGCGGCGAGGATGGCTGGGGCAGCCACAGGTCCAGCTTTGCTCATCGGCCGTCAGGCTGGCTGTACCGTTATGGGATGCTCCTGGGGCTGCTTCTCTTTGAAACGCACCTGGCTATACGAGTGGTCCGTTATCTGGTATTCACAAGTGAATTTCCTAAAAAAGACCTGGAAAAGGTTTAGTTTTGCTGCTCTTTTAAGTCCTTTCTTCTCATAGGCATCTTTCTAGAGAAGTTTTACTAACGCATTGTTAAAGCATATGGTGTGCTTGAGCAAGAGAGAAAATCAGTGCTTTACACTGGGAAAGATCATGGATTGTGTAGGTAAAACCTAGTCTACAACTTTCTTTGTAATTATGTCCTGTGTTTTTTCTCGTCTCAGGTGTAGAGCCACAGCACTGCAAACATGTCGATTGGAGTGCCAATTAAAGTCCTGCATGAGGCTGAAGGCCATATTGTGACATGTGAGACCAACACAGGAGAAGTTTACCGAGGCAAACTTATTGAAGCTGAAGACAACATGAATTGTCAGGTATACCTGTTTCAGAAGGATGGAGGGAAGGCTGTCGGATGGGTGCCTGGAAAGGCTGATAGCTAGTTTATTGGCAGCTTGATTAAAACACCATTGCTTTTAGTCTTAGGATAAAGAAAACAGTATTGGTGCATGTATGCTGTCTTACCGTAGTGAAGTGGGTTCAGGATTACTGAAGGTGCCAAAGAAGCCAGACCTTATTCTTTCCAGTTTTAGAGTTAGATTGGGTATTCTTGTCAATAATATCAGGGTTCTTAAGATTCTGTTCTGTGAACAATGTTTTTGTTGGAGTTCTTTCTTTAAAGCCACTCAGTGTAACAATAAACAAACTTGATTTAAGAAATTGAAGGGTTTTTTAACACATTTTACTTTAGTCATCCCAAGAGGGCTTAATTTTGGTTGAATTTGGTCATTGTTGAAATCAAAATGCTTCCTTAATAGTTAGGACTAGAATAGGTTTATTAAAACTTACTCAATACAAGAAAACCAAACTAACAAAGCTGATAAAACTAATTTGCAAACTGAGGAGAATGCAAAAATCCTGGGCCTGCTTGAAAAGTAACAGGCTTAGGAGTATGTTTAAATAATCCTGGATGCCTTGTGTCACAACTGTAGTTGAGAGAGCAGTATGCTTGGAAAGTCTTTGGCTCTAGTACTTGAATCCTGGCTGTGTATTCTGCAGGCGAGAGAAATAGGAATGCAGAACAGGATTAGAAGCCTCTGAGCACCAACTGATCTTTTTTTCAGATGTCCAACATAACGGTGACATACAGAGATGGACGAGTGGCACAGCTTGAACAGGTGTACATCAGAGGTAGCAAGATACGGTTTCTCATTCTACCAGATATGTTGAAGAACGCTCCTATGCTAAAGAGCATGAAGAATAAAAACCAGGGGTCTGGAGCTGGGCGAGGAAAAGCAGCTATTCTCAAAGCTCAAGGTGAGTACAATTTGTTTATGGTCCTGTGTCTGCCCTGCTTTCCCCCACCCACTCCAGCCCCGCTCCTTTTTGCTGTAGAAGAACTGGAAAACTGTCATCGCTATCACTGAGGAAAGTAAGGTGTAAGAAACTGAAAGATTACTTGTTCGTATATTGTTTTTCTGTATATTTCATCTTATGGTGGGAGTCAAGACTCAGACTCCCCGGTTACCTGAATATGTACTATTGATGCTACAATAATTTAGATTATTTATTTAGAGTAGTCTTGTTAAACAGAGGCTTTATATAAAACTTCATCTTCTGTTTTCCAGTGATTGTGGCCACTAGCTGTTTGGAATACTTAGGGAAGAATCCAGGTGTTCTTGTTAAGCTTTTGTAGAAAAACAAATTCAGTTATCAAGAAGGTACTTAAACTACTGGGAAGCTGTAATTATTAGCCATTCTGTAGTTCACTCTCATTTGTACCTTTCTCAGGGGAACAGCCTAATTATAACAAGATTGAGTAATAGTCATGGGCTGCAGAGTCCTTGATTAACTTTAGCAAATGCAGTAAGGTTATGTGGGGGAGTAACATCTGCTGAAACGTATTGAGTTCAGTTGCAAAACCTTGGAAGACTGGGCTTTTAAGTCTCTTGGGCTACAAATTTGTGTGTCAGATTAGAAGGAACACAAAGTGTGATGAATACTCCACTGCATCCGTTCTAAGTAACAAGCTGTGTAACCATTAGTTCTGGTTCTTCTCACAGAAAACTTTTTCCTGTTGTATCGCTTTCTGAACTTCATAGGATAGCCTTGCTTCCTTGCTTCTAAGCAGGAGACTTGGAGTGTTGTTTGGTTTGCTTGTTGGTTGTTGAGATAAATATGCAGTTATGTCAAATCCATGTCATCCCTGATGTTTTCTT